GATAGTGGAAGTAATTTTTAGATTAGTGCTGCCCACCATGTGAATTAGCCGTAGTGATCATCTTGAATTAGACCCAATGACGTCCCCTCCGTCCGTCATCTGCCACACAGTAAAAAATCGAGTGTTAAATTTGCAGTGTTAAACTTTTCAGAGTTAATTTCAGCTCCCCAAGTGTTATTTTAACACTTTCTGAGTGAACAGACGTCCAGTGTTGGTGTTAATTCACAGTGTTGATTTCATCAGTGTTGTCTCAACTCTGGACAGTGTCAAATAAGCTCCGCCCACTGTTAAGTCTTGATTAACACYYAACAGTGTYRTTMTATAACACAATGCAGTGTTGAAAGAAGTATTCTGAAAAGCCCCGCCCTCTTCCTCATGGACCAGAATTTTCTCAGCAAGGAATGCTGGGTAATCTAGTAGAAATGATGTGTTTGCATGTCTAAGATTATTAAAAATGTTCATGAGTGTAAAAATTAGTTTTTCTGGTTAGTTTTCTTGTTCAGGTTGTTTCGTTTTTCAAGTTTAAGTTTTGTGTTATTTACCATAAGTCGACACCATGAGTGAGAGGTACTTCCTGGTGTGWGAAGGGTCACACTGTTGTGCTGTTTCACCAACTCATGACCAGGGTTAATACAAGACTTTAAGAGTTATTATTAACTCTGGGATAAGGTGCAGACCTCTGTGTACTCTGACTCAAACTGTGTAAAAGGAAAACAAAGTACATTAGTAATACACAATAAGGAGCATATTTTAAAGTCAGGTTATTGTAAAATTTACTCCATAAAAAATAACATTATTACTCTGTAGAGAGTTAATGAGCTATAGTGTTAAATAATTTTACTCAATTCATTGTTGATTTTAACACAGTAAAATTAACTCTGAAAAGTTTACACTGGCTATAGAGTACATTTTACACTAATTTTGGACCAAATATTATATGAAACAGAGTTAAATCCAACTCTATAGGTGTTAAAATTACACTTTGTTTAGTTCCTGCAGAGTCGGGTCGCAGTGGGGCAGCAGGTCTGAAGTGTCCTGTTCCAAAAGCTCACAAGAGACGAGTGGTAAAAAGATGTAATCACCCATTGTTTACCAAGTTATGATGAGATATGTTGTGTAAACACTGAGAACATGGAAGCCACAGATTTGGTTTCACAGGAGTGCAGAACAGACGACCTTTATTGTGGAAAACATCCAAAGATGACGACTGTTTACCAAAATAAGAGCTGGATCTATGGCCTCTTTCATACCTTTACATGTTTTTCCTGTCAAAGATGGAACCCATGTGTAGACCAGGAGGTTTAATGTTTTTTATTATTATTATAACCACTTGGAGGTCAGGGAATAACATGTTTGTTTCTTCTCACCTCTACAACCGGCCCCCCTGTGTGGGAGAGTTTCTTGACCTGTTTCTTTGTCTTGTTATATTATCCCCTCCTTGCTGTCTCAACCAAAACTGTCCTGACAAAAGACCTGTTGTGACAAACTCAGATGTCCATTTATGTGACCCTGACGCCAAATACAGCACCAGAGATTTTTTTAAAGCTGTCCAAGGAAGATATATTTTCTTCTTTTGCTCTCTGTTTCTAGAGTTAAGTTGTCATTTCTGCCCTGGTAATCAGTTTGTTTGTCACACGCCCTCTTTCCAAGCGTCAAACGTTGGGAAACTCGGATCCCGTTTCAAAAACAACCAAACTCAGACCCCCACCCTTCCAGGAAATATTTCCAGATCTCTTGAGTTTGCAGTTTCAGAGCTGTCACAGCCTCCAGCAGGAAAACCTATTTGTTTCCACCCCCCCCCCAGTGTAACTTAATTGTTCACATAGAAACACACGGACCATTAAATACCTCCTCTCCTTGTGCTGGGCGTGAACAAACTCTAAAAGAATCCCAAGTCTGGACTTGTCACCCAACCATGTCATGCTCTTGTCAGTTTGCAAACACTTCAAGTGAGAGCAAACAAGCAGGCGAGCCGAGACCTGCCCAACGTTCGAACCATCGATACGTTCTGATGAAGACAAGTTTCAGAAGTTTGTTTGAAAACAAAGCTCAAGCTCACAGAGACTTCTCTGAGCCCTGACAGTTTTCATTTTCTATTTTCTTGTAGCTTTAAAGAACCCTGAAAACATCCTGTTTAAAAATACTAATGTTGGCCAAAATTTACATTTTGGTTTATTTAAATAACAAGATGCCTACAGGGTTTTAACAGATACAGAAAAGTTGTGAGTCTCAAATGGTAAAATACATAGGTACTCTAGTATTTTAGCAGAAAACACCAAAGTACACCAGTATTTCAACCATGAACTAATGTGGTACTGTGGCATAGAAAACACCAGAATACTACATTATTTCAACCATTAACTAATGTGGTACTTTGATATTTTAGCAGAAAACACCAGAGTACTCCATTCATTCAACCATATGAACTAGTGTGGTACTCTAGTATTTTAGCAGGCAACACCAGAGTACACCAGTATTTTAACCATGAATTAATGTGGTACTGTGGTACTTTAGCAGAAAATCCCAGAGTACACCAGTATTTCAACCATGAACTAATGTGGTACTTTGGTATTTTAGAAGAAAACACCAGAGTACTCCGTTCATTCAACCATGAACTTATGTGGTACTGTGGTATAGAAAACACCAGAATACTACATCATTTCAACCATTAACTAATGTGGCACTTTGGTATTTTAGCAGAAATCACCAGAGTACACATTCATTCAACCATGAACTAATATGGTACTCTAGTATTTTAGCAGGAAACACCAGAGTACACCAGTATTTTAACCATGAATTAATGGGGTGCTGTGGTACTTTAGCAGAAAATCCCAGAGTACACCAGTATTTCAAGCATGAACTAATGTGATACTTTGGTATTTTAGCAGAAAACTCCAGAATACTACATTATTTGAACCATTAACAAATGTGGTACTTTGGTATTTTAGCAGAAAACACTAGAGTACATCATTATTTCAACCGTGAACTACTGTGGTACTCTAGTATTTCAGCAGCAAACACAAGAGTACACTGGTATTTCAACCATGAACTAATGTGGTACTCTGGTATTTTAGCAGAAACCACCAGAGTACACCAGTATTTCAACCATGATTTAATGTGGTACTTTGTTATTTTAACAGAAAACACCAGAGTACTCCGTTCATTCAACCATGAACTAATGTGGTACTCTAGTATTTTAACAGAAAACACCAGAGTACACCAGTAGTTCAACCATGAATTAATGTGGTACTTTGTTATTTTAACAGAAAGCACCAGAGTACTTCGTTATTTCAACCATGAACTAATGTGGTACTCTAGTATTTTAGCAGGAAACACCAGAGTACACCAGTATTTTAACCATGAATTAATGGGGTACTGTGGTACTTTAGCAGAAAATCCCAGAGTACACCAGCATTTCAACCATGAACTAATGTGGTACTTTTGTATTTTAGCAGAAAACGCTAGAGTACATCATTATTTCAACCGTGAACTACTGTATTTCAGCAGCAAACACAAGAGTACATTGGTATATCAACCATGAACTAATGTGGTACTCTGGTATTTTAGCAGAAACCACGAGCATACTCTACTATTTCAGCAACCAACTACCGGAATACTCGGATATTTCAGCAACAAACACCAAAGTACTCTGGTATTGTAGCAGAAAACCTTGAAGTACTGCAGTATTGTAGCAGCAAACATCGAAGTACTCCAAGAATTTTAGCAGCAAACTACCAGAGTACTCCGTTATTTCAACCGTGAACTACTGTGGCACTCTGGTATTTTAGCAGCAAACTACCAGAGTACTCCGGTATTTCAAATGTGTACTGCTGTAGTACTCTGGTATTTTAGCAGCAAACTACCAGAGTACTCCGGTATTTCAAATGTGTACTGCTGTAGTACTTTGGTATTTTAGCAGCAAACAGAAATCCATCCACACTGTATATTATCTTAACTTACATCTTCCTTTGAGGGTCACGAGGATGAACACCAAAGTACCCCAGTAATTCCATAGCAAATCACAAGGGTACTCTGGTATTTCATCAGCAAACACCCAAGTTCTCCTATATTTCAACCGTGAACTACCGCAGTACTCTGGTATTTCAGCAACAAACATGTTAGTATTCAGCAAGGCAGGTTCAAGTCACAAATTATTTGTGTACTTCTGTTGTCTGATTAATATTTAAATTACCCTCGGGAATGCTCTTGCCAAATATATATATATTAAATTTGGTAGTCATGACACATGATGAGAAAACACTGACAGGAATTGTTGATTTGCCCTTTAGTAGCAGGTAAAGGGAAATTGTGTTTCATTGTGTCATTTTCATGTATTGTATTGTTTTCTTATGTATTGTATAAACATCAGCTTCATCATCATTTTCTGTTACCTCATTTATGTTCCTGTTTTCTTTGTTGACGTTTCAGCTACTTTCTATAATTTACTGAGCAGATATTTCTCTAGTTTGGTGCTTTTATCTCTATAAAACTCAACATTTTTATTTATGAGAAACCTGACTTGTCTTATCTGTCCTGTGAATAAATTGTATACATCCAAAAGTATTTAATGTAAAACTATTTGCTGTAAAATATGTTTGAACTATGGTGCTACCACATCAAAGATTAGCTCTGTCAAACCAATAGTTATTTTTCTGTTGACTAGTGTTGACGAGCATTTAAAATGATTGATGATCTAATTTATATTTTATTTTGTTATTTATATTTTTTGGTTCCATCATTTTTATTTGTTTGTTTAAAAGTTTGTTTTTGTTTGAACACGACCCAGACTTCTTCCGTTTTACCTTGTTCTCTGCTCACCCACCAGCCTCCACCTGTGTTTTGAGGCGGAACCGATGTGTGGATGAGCGGCTCCTGATTGGTTAACAGTGCGGAAACGCGTTTCCTGATTGGTTAAGATGCAAAAGCGCGGCTCTTGATTGGTTAATGGTGAAGCGAGGGTGGGATGTGCTGGATAATAAATGCAGTCTTGTCTGGAGGAAAAAAAAAAAAAAGGTTTGACTAACGGTCCAAAGCGTTCATCCAGCAGGCAGACTCTTCTCTAAAGAGCTCTTTCTTCTCCAAAATGAAGAGACTTTGTTTTATTTTTGCAGTGGCTATCTGCTTTGCAGTTGGTAAGGATATAATCTTTATTTATTCAGTAAAACTGTTATTAAAAAAAAAAAACCCTGTAATTTAAACCACTTAAAAATGTAAAGCAATTAAAAAATATATATATTTACATTGTTTCTGTGTTTTCCCCACAGCCTAAATGTTTAGTGAGATGTGTAGTTTTTTGTTTTTATTGTTTACATTTGTCTTTATTGTAGTGTGTTAGCAGAAACCATAAACTGGGTGTGTTCAGGTAATTTTTTTTTGCCCAACCTCATAAAAAATGTCAAGAACATTGAGACCTTTAATATAAAAGTTWAAAAAGGCACCTCAGTCTGCTCAATGTTAATCTGATTTTATTGTTTTAGCAACAATAATTAACATGTTCTGTTAAAACTCAGCTATTTGGATTATTTAAAACAAAATCTGYAGAATAAAATGCATATCAAACATAGGTTATAGATATTTCAACTGATCCAAATGACAAATTCGCCCATGAAAGGCCAAATGTACCAATTTAACCCTTTATAAAAGAAATGAAAACTTGTTAAAAAGGGTGGACGATGCTGGAAACAAACACTGCAGCGCCCCTAGTGGCCATCTGTAATAATTACACTTCAGGGCGTTATTTAAATGTATTTACTGATTAGAAAAGTCTATTTTATTTACCAAACAGCAATGTTTTTAATCTTTAAATCAAAGTGAGTAAAATGGTTTAAAGAGTTAAACCAACTCAAACTGGTTTAATCAGAATGCAGCCTTGTGTAATAATGTAAAAACAAAACAAGCCTTTCAGACTGAATTAGTTTTTAAGGGGAGTCCTTTAAACCAGTTTTAAATGAGTACACAAACTCATTGTTGGTGAAWTTTTTTATTTTTATATTTTCAGAGGGAATACATTTTAAAATCTTTCTGTGCATCCAAGCCTTTCGTGCAACATGGTGGATTAGCGGTTAGCTCTGATGTCTCACAGGGTTCGATTCCCAGTTCAGACCRGGAGTTTGTGCTGGTTTTGAGTCTAAAAAAACCTGCACGTTTACTGCGATTTGCCTGGTTGAATTAAGGYAAACAAATGAAAACGTTACMCAAAACCACCGGTAAAGATATTCGTAATAACTGAAGATCAAAACACAACACAACCTTTGGTAAACAAAGTTCAGCTTATCGTTACACGTTAAAACATTTGACTCGCAAATTATCAGCTCAAGCACAAGAATGTGCTAATTTGACTTGCAAACTGTGAAGAACATGCATTCAAAYTGAAGCTTTTCTTCCGATGTCTTGACACAGATGCAAAAAAAAAATCGCCTCAAGTAAGATGAGAAACATGCATTTTGTTTTTGTTTTGCACAATTTTTGTTTGTACTACGCAAAATCGGCTAAATCTAATGATAAACTGTAAAGCATAAAACATTTGTAATTAACCTGAGGCTAAACATCAGAACAGAAAGGTCATTTATTACTCTAACAGCTGATTTAGGAAGTAGGAAGATCACAATGAAGGTAATTGCGTTTGTTAAAATTAAAATATTGTACCAATAAAACAAAAAGGTAATTTTATTCAGATAAAAACATGTTTTAATGAAAATCAGTTCATTTTTAACACCTAAATTGGTACAAGTGTGAGTAAATAATTGTAAATCAGCTACAGTTTCAGCACTTTATAGAACTGATAATCCTAGAAAATAAAAGTAAATTAAAAACTGACGTTTAATAGATACATTTTGTAACATAAAAGTGATTTAACCTTAATTATGTGACCTGTGCTCACAGAACKAATCATAACAACAAATACAAAAAATACAGAAAATTTGCCGTGATTTAGATTTGCGTGAAAACGAACTAAACTGGTCGTAATTTACTTTTAAATTGACAATTACAAACAGGCGTGTCTTCAGGAGTCAGGAAATCCTTATAATGTTCAGCATTATTGTGAAACCTTTTCAAATATAAAGTGGGAATAGCTTATTGCTCACCAGGTGATGAATCACAAAAATGTTCACGAATTACGTTTTGTTTTGAAACGTTTGTATTGAGTAAATTAAAAAAATAATAACATATTGAATAAAGTTCCTGGTTGTGGTTGGTTTTGTGAGTCAGCCGTGGCGGAAAGTGTTTGTGTTTAGAGCCGTTAGCTGAGGGTGAGGCTGTTTGCTTTTTTTTTTTTTTTTTCCAGAGGCTGAATCATGTTGCAGCTCGCCAGCCTGAGAAATTCCCCACGTTGTTAAAAAGCATCTGCTGGTTTTTTTTCCCTAAGTATCAAATTCCACATCAACAGTGGGATTCCAGGCTGCGTAAAGTTTGTTCTCCCTTTGTGTTTGGGKTTGTTGTTGTTTTAGAGCTCAGACTTCCTGTCTCCAACCACACCCTCATTGGCTGCAGCTGTTTTTACATTTTTAGCTGATGGTTTTATACCTTCAGCTCGTTGGAGTTTCCTCCTTTTAAAGGAGCACTGATCTCAGCTGACAAAGGATTTATTCACAAAGCGAGTGTGTTTACTGCTGTGGGAAGGAGAGGATGACCTCAGGTGGTTGGGTTTATGTCTGATGTCAACTCGTTACAGGAGACTRAGAGGTTTCCCTCAAACACCAGCTGCCTGAAAAATAAACAAATTCTTTTATACCTCCATGGGCGTTGGCTGCTTTTTACRCTCATATGTAAAAAAAGAGTGGGAGGAGATGTTAGAAATAGACCTAATTGAAGTGTCTTCTTAATATGTTTTACTCATTGACTTCCTGTGCAGCTTTTTTGTTGTTTTTTTCGTGCATCGCCCAGTCTTTTATCTGCTAAATGTGGGAACCAGAGTGGTTTTAACGCTGAGACGATGCTGGATTTTCAGCTTAAAGGAGGGCCTCGTCCTCCTAATTCCTTACAGGAGTCACATGGACCACTCCCCGCGCTGAGTCAGGGACAACAGAGCTGACATTTAAGACGTGTTTCAACTGGAAACAAGAATTGCTTAAACCTCTGACAACAGCAGCGCCCTGAAGGATAAATCTGATCCTAACCTCTCTTTTAACTAAAACGCCAGTTTAGGGAAACGCCACGCCTAACTCCCGTCCTAGTCTTTTAAACGTAACTCCTGCAGCGAAACATTAAATAACGTCCACTTCTTTACGGCATCGTTAGCATAAACATGCTGTTTTTATTTTTAGTTTCGATCACTGTAAATGTTCCATACAAGACATAAACTTTTAATATGAATAATCTCATTTAAGGTTCTTAAACTGCAGATGAGTTAACTTTTACACTGTAAAGCACACCGCACATCCAGTTATAGTGAAGTATAATCTTTATGTATATTATGTACTGTGTAAATAGAGTTAATTCTAGAGCGACACGAACAGCCACAAATTCCTTGTATGTGTCAACATACGTGGCCAATAAAACTGATTCTGATTGGAGAGGCAGATTATTTAAAAGTCTGCAGACTGTAGTTGTGGTGGTGGAGCAGTAGGGGGCAGTATAGGACTGGCAGAGCTTGTTGAGCGCCACACCTCACAGGTGAGAGCTGAAACAGGTTTTTTTTATTATTATTTTAATAATAAATCAGTGTACTTCAGTTTAATTAAAGTTTCAGTCACAACTTTTTAATTTTTTTACCATTAAAACCATCCATTTCCTTTATCCTYCTTTTAAAGTCACAGGAAGCTGGTTCTTATACTGGTGGGGGGACACCCTGGACAGGTTTCCAGTAGGGACACAAAGAGACAAAACGGTGCTCTCTTTAGAGTTACCAGTTAACCTAAAAGAATTGTTTTTGGTCATAAAAGGCCCCAGTCGGATATTTGATACAATTGGAATTTGATACAAATTAATGGTTGTGTTTTATTTAGTAACAAAACATTAATTTAAGACTGAACTTGGTAAAACTATTGAAAGGTTGTGTATAATTACCGATCCTTTAAACAGGGCTGCCAATTTCTGCCAATTATTATTGAAGAAATATYATATAACTAATTACTCTTATATAAATAAAATTATGTTTGCAAATTATTTGTTACGTGATGTTTAGAACATACTTTTTTTTCATTCTATTATTTCTTTGAGATACATTTGATCCCAATCCAGCAAATCCGGTTAACAAAAAAA